TGAAGACCGGCGACGAGAGGGTGGGGGGAGGGGCTGTGAAGACCGGTGACGAGAGGGAAGGAGACGATGACTGCAGCTGGAGAAGATGGAGAAGATGGAGGCGATGACTGCAGCTGGTATAGGGTGTGGAAGGGTAAAGTGGGAAGAATTGTAATTTGAATGGTTTAGTGGTACCCTAGATGCAAAATGGTTAAGAATGGATTGTAACCATTAAGAGACATTTTTTTTTGCCAAACAACCTCAACCTCTGACCGATTAAGAGATTGGCTCTTAATGTCACCATTAAGAGCCAAACAAACAGCCCCTAACACTTGTATTTGTTAGTACAAAAAGATAACAGGCTTATTAGTCAAGTATGTTGAATATGAGATTATTTAAATTCATTTCCTTTTCTATTTTATTAAAGGAAAATAGATTCAAATAAACATATTCTACAACCAAATTAACCTCCTTATCATTTTTCTTCGGACTTTATCAAAAGTCACTAGGTCTGCAATATCCAGATCCATAATTATTATGGACCCACTAAATGACAAAAATCAACGTTTTTGGGCGGGGTCTGTAATTATTACGGATTCGACCCAAAACCCATTTTCCTTGAAAACCCTCAAGGTGGACACTTACGGATCTAGCATTACAGATTCAAGGAAAATGGGTTTTGGGCCGGATCCGTAATGATTACGGACCTGACTAAAAAACTCTAGAATTTTGTCGTTTAATGGGCCCGCAATAATCACGGACCTGGGTATTGCGGACCTAGTGAATTTTGGGTAAAGTCCGAAGAGAAATGATTATGAGGTCAATTTGGTTTTGGAATATGGTCATTTGGGTCAATTTTTCTTTATTAAAAATATAACAAATGCATTGTAAGAAAACTATAATCACGATTTAAGAACTAATTAGTTTTCAGGGCTTCCATGTACTTATATTTTTTTGTTACAATGGAATTGGAACCTCGCTAATTGATCTTTACGGTGCTTATTCTAAATATCAAAATTTAGTAGATACATTTATATTAATCTGTTAAGACAATAAGAATAAAACTGTCTCTATTTGCTACTTGCTAGTTTTTAGCCCTTTGGGCTGTGAAATTAGACAAACTCAGCTTCGTTTCATCAATCATTCTTCTTCTACAGAAAAATCTGGTTCCGTTGGTTTTTGTAATGCGCTAACACTAGTCGATTTCGACACCGAATGCAAGTTCCCAGACCTCCTTGAACTCGCACCATACGCACCGAACCCTGGCTCGGGTGCAACCATTTGACCACCATGCTTCGGAGGGCTAACTTCTGGCTCGTAATCCACGCTTGCAAAACTCTCTCGAGCCTTGAGTTCACTTGCACTTTGTCTCCGTTTATATCGCCTCCATGCCGCTTGCACGAAACAAGCCGCCCATGTCCGCCACTGGTGGCTATAAAACCGAAACTTGTGGCGTAATTGCTTACTATGCAATCTCCGATACTGTGATGCCACAAACTTCAGGTCCTCGGCTATGAGCGCAAAAGCTTCGACTTCAGAAATCGCCTTTACGGTTCGAGTCGATGACGGAATCACCACACTCGGCCGTGGGTCCAGGGCCCACGTCAGAAGTTCCTCGCCACAAAAGTCGCCGGGACCTATCGAACACGAGTTGAAAAACCCGGTTCGACCACCGTTTGTGGTGTAGGAATCAAGGTTTCCTCGGATTATAAATAGCATTTCGTTCACGGGATCACCCTCCCGAACCAAACATGTGCCTTGCGTAGACAAGGCCGGTTTTAGCCGTTCACAGATTGCATCTAGCATCCGTTCGTCCATTTGATCAAACAACGGAACCTAGATCATCAAATTTTATACAAGCTCATGCCAATATATACGAAGGTTTCATAATCTAAAACTATCAGCAAAATTAAAACTTACTCGTCGAACTAGATCATAGCAAAGGTGTCGTTTAATATCTCGTCGAAGATCTAAAGGAAGATCCTTGAGAAGCGATTCTTCATCAACTCCTCGAGTAGCTATCCATTTGTACTGATCGTATCTGCGAACAGACTGCTTGAGCTCAGGCGGCAGCTGCCGATGTTTCATCCATTGTTCTGTGTCTGTTCTCCGGATCCTCCATTCTTCTAATCGAATCGTTGTTGATTGAAGGTAAGTCTAAACAAACATATAGAATGTCGGTTAAATTATATTCCATCTGTTTGAAAATAAGTCCACGTTTCTATTTCCGAATGTCACAGAATAAGTATCCACTCTCAAAAGTTAGAGCGAGCTTTTTCATTAAGCTTTTTTCAAAAAGCACGGACCGACATAAAATAAGAAGTGTTCCTAGCATCCAGAATCATGAAATCTACTAATCGATACGACACTTGCCTGCATGTTTCCGATCAACAATGCAAAGAGAACTAGTCCCACGGTGGCAATTATGATTGCGAACACGATTTCGCCCACATAAGTACTTGTCGAAAGATTCTGCCCCAGAGAACTGTATGTAATCGATATGATCGTAAAAAATCCAATAAAACGACGATACTATCTCGAGGCTAGGTAGTGAATGAATATAGATAACTACCTGAGGTTCTTCAAGCCAAACCAAAGGCAATAGAAGTACTTATTGAAGAACAAGGCAGAGGTAACCTTTGAGGTCAGAGCTTCGCCATAAATACCGAACTGATAAAACCCGCTCGTGGGGATGCATTTTTCCGAGACGTTACTAGATCGGAACCACAAGCTTCTATTAGGGTCGTGAAATCTTTCACAGTCGAAGAACTTATCGTCACAATTTGGATCCTCGAAAAGGCATACACTTCTCCAGCAGGCTTCTTCTCTCTCTATTGATAAAAGATACCAACAAGCTCCTAAAACCTGCATCGATTAACAACGATGTTAGAACATGATTTTGTCGATTTGAATCATGTTCTGTTAAGGTTGTTTTGGTGATTACATGGCTTGCTAACATGTATAGCATCAGATTATACGCAGCTCCAGCTCTTGCGGTTTCTGTCACAATGCCTGTAGCCTCGACAATTTGTGATGTTAGAGGGAATATGAGATATAGTCTCGGGAGGTATTGGAAGATTATGATAAACCGAAGAACATTTTTTGTGTTAGTCATGGTCGAGCCACTTAGGCTCGGTATGATCAGCCAGATTAGCAGCTGCATTAACCACAAAAACAGAACGATTAGGAAGCGTTTTTATTTCACTAGAAGTAACAATATCACGAGCTCCACTGCACAAAATGCACGCCAAAAATGTCTAAATGTCTTTGACTTAAAGCTTATAGAACCCAACAATACGTAAATGTGCTACAATAAGTTGTAACAAGCTTTTATCACAATTGTTTGGTCATACTCCTGCAAGCGTTGAGATAATTTTGGCGTCCTACAAATCCCATTTTGTTGTAATGCTCGAAATCACGTATACCTGAGGAAGAGGCAGGGCAGCGATGATATCGATCCAGAGACCACTTCGGAAATAATTTATTGCAATCTTGGAAGAGTCTATAACGAGCTCGCCTCTTCCAAAAACGCGGGAAGATGGTGCAACATAGGCTGTACGGAACTTGATGAGAATCTGAATGGTGTAAAAGACGTCTGCTATTGATCTCACGACGGTGAGACCGATCTCGAGGGTGAGACCAATATGGATGCAAGCATGGCTGGTTCGAACAGATGGCAGGTAAAAGAACAAAGGGTCTACAAACAAAGAAATCAAACATGCAAACAAGAAAATATGGTTCCATTTCCGAATAGTTAGCCCTCGAGGATCCAAGATTTTCTTCTGCACTCTTTCGTAATCTTCAGAGAAAACCCTGGAGAGAACTTTCGATTTCAACGAAGGTGGACTCTTTTCCTCCATTCTTTGTTCAGGCACCTGCTTGCCATCAAGATTATATTTGACCTTAAACAAGTTGTCTTTCTTCATAGACGGGAGTTTTGATACCTCAATATCATCATGAAATCTGAAGAATTCATTAAAGCAAGCATTAGAATTAGAATTCACCTAAACCCAAGTTGTATGTTTGATCACAGACCAAAAACCATCCAAAATTACAATAATTAAAGCATTACATCAAAACCAAAACAACTAAATGCCATTAGACCAAGCTAATTCAAGAATTTGACCAATTCAACACGATTATACACTAAGCGAAATTCAAGAATTTGACTCACAATTAAGCATAAACTTGAAACGATGATCACTAAGTAAACAACTAAAAAACTGAAATTTGAGGTAATTCAGAAGGGGGGGAATACCTTACAGATCTTGAATTGGCATATGCCATGGTGGTACTGTAAAAAAATGGAATCTTTGAATTGGGTTTTAGTTAAAGAACTTCAATCTGTTTTTGTAAGAAGAACAAGATGAGGATTTAGGGTTATGAAGAAGAAAATTGAAAAAATGGGTGCATGAATCACCGGAAAATTGACCGATGATGACTTGCAGACCGCTAATGAAGAATATCCATTAAGGAGTTGCTTCAAAAACTATCAAGAATCATGTGAAGTAAGTAAAAATAACAGGAATTTAAATTCATCAACTTGAATAAGAAAATTAAAGTCGTTCCCTTCCTTTTAAACCAGAAGTCCAGGTCAAACATGTGACCAATTCTATGAAAATGAAACCTAAAGAAACTATATACATTTTCTTGTCGATATCTGAACTCAACTATTGCCCAGTCAAAACTACAAAATTAATGGTAAAAAAATCCACCAGAAAGTGACATACCCAGAAAGAAAAATGCATAGAAATGGAAGCTTTCATAAAGGAAAGTTGAAAGCTTAGGTGTAACAAATGCCGTTGTGTGTCAAGTATCCGTGAATCTAACAATAAAAACTCAGTTTTCTTTAATGCACGAGAGACATTTGATTGAAACCCATGGCTGATGGTAATTTAGGGTCGTTGGTGTGAAGTCATACATCCATCCATGATCAGTCGTTTGCTTTTTGCCGGTGAGGCTCTGTGTCGAACAGATTGTGTGCAGAAAAGCAGAGCACCTCATGCCAGTTTCATATGTGGTGATGGCAACAATACATAACGCTCAATAACCCAAAAAAGATAAATGTAATAAATATATTCATGTTAGTTCTCAAATATGATTTAGGGGTTTTTGTTTACCTCTTAATAGTTCCATTAAGAGGCAACTTCTGAATCGTTAAGAGATGAATCTTGTTTGGTAAAAAAAAATTATGCTTCTTAATGGTTCTAAAATCCTCTTAATGATTTTGTATCATGGATCTCCTTTAACCATTAAGAGCCATAATTTTATTGTACATAATTACCAAATAATTATATTTCATTTTGCATTATATCATGAGAGCCTCTTAATCATTCTGACCACTTAAATCAGAACATTTCAAAAAACAAACGGAAGAAATGGAGCTTTTTATCATATTCTTTTAGATATTTAGATTGCATTTGATTTATGGAGCAAGATAAGAAAAGACAAAAATTCCTTGTTCCATGTAAAATGTAACATTTAAGTTGTAACAAGATAATATTAATCGGATAATATCTGTAAATTATTAAACTGGTTTGGGATCATGTGAGATCATAAAATTATCACAGTATAACATTATGAAGGTATAAGAAACATCGATCATTCACAGTGTTTTACTGTAAAAATTTAGTATTATTCATGTGGTCTCACAGTCTCATGAAAATAGTTTGGTCTCGCATGATCCCAAATCTTACTAAACTATCATTTAAATTATAACCCTAAAACTTAATTGTATAATAGATAAAAGGGAAAAAATGAAGAAAGTATAATAGATAAAGGAGAAAATATGTAAATTTGGAGGATATTCCAAAATTAAACGTTGGTTGAAAGGAACACTTTTTAATGTTTCCGCTAATTAAATGTTAAGAATTTATTGAAATATTAAAGGGCGGGGAGGAGATATATCAGGTCAGGTCTCGTTAGCCGCCGAAGAATACCTTGTATTAAATATTTTAATAATACAACTAATATTAAAATCTTAAAATTTAGAATTTTCATGTAACTTTGTTTTTGAAATTTTTGATGAAAAGAAATTACAATTAAATACGAAAAAGGCATGTAGACAGGAAAATCAATATTTGCAACAAAGGCGTGACATACAATTTGTATTGTTATGTAAATAGACGGTTTTGGCTCATATAGCGTTGTTTATGGCCCAAGAATTAACTATTTTGTGATTTATTTTAGAAAAACTGTAGCATGCCAATTGCCAAATATACCATTATTTATTCCGTCTTTTTTAATTATAATAAGTTTCATGTAAGATTACATCATGCTTAGCAGATCTATAATCACTATATATTATATTCTAAAATATATTCTTCTAGTTTACTGATTTCATCAGCAAGTGCAATGTCATAGTCTACTGGGAATAATGTTAAAATGCCGGCATAGAAGTTATAAGTCTTACCTGCCCTATTTTCGATTGGGTAATTTTAGGTGATTCTATTTGAACACCTATTTATCATTAATCATTTTCTTGTTTTTTGTTCTATTTACTTAGTCATCATAATCTAATGATTTTTGTTTTTTTTAATAAGTATTAGATTGTTACTATTTTTTTATTAAAAGTATTATTATTATTATTATTAAAATAATTTTGCTTAATTATTATTATCAAAACAAAAACACTTAATAAATAAAATTACCTTTATCAAATACTACAAATTTGATTACTTAATTTTTAAAACTACATAACAAAATAAATAATTAACAACAAATTAAACGGTTTTTAATAGAAAAAAAACTATTTTAATAGGCAATTGTAAATTCATGATTTTAGAGAATAAATAAATATTATTATTATTATGATATTAAAGATGTTTTTTGATGTTATTATTAGTGTGTGGCTGGAGTTGATTTTTTTAGTGTTCAATGTACTCACCATTTTTAATAATTTTAATGTTCTATTTTTAATGGTTGGGTTATAGATAGTTAATATATATATATATATATATATACACGAAATTAAATAAAGTTTTGACTAAAAAATGGTGTATAAATTATACAAATACATATCAATATTTAAAAATAAATTAGAAAAACTAAATATTTATCTACAAAAATATAAATACAATAATACGATAGTAAAAGTAGAAAATGGTAGAGGAAAAATGAAAATGATTAATGATGTATGTAATAATAAAGAATGATGAGCGATGAAAGATGAAGGAGAAAAAAAAGTGACAATGATATAACTTACTTTTTGGTAGGTAAAAGTAAAGAGACGTGTATGTAGTAAACCCTAATGTTATTTTCACTTTTTTAATGTCAAAATAAGCTCAAGTGCATTGGAAATGTAAAAAGTGTATTTCAATGTTAATACATGTGAGAAGGAAAGTATTAGGTAGGGGTGTATTTAGCAATGTGTAAGGGTGTAACTAGTATCTCTATGACTCTATTTTAGAGAACAAGATAATAAGTTGGAATATTTTAAAAAACAAAGACTCACTTTATTCTATTTTTTAGAAAAACGGATGAAGATGCTCTAACCTTACCTCCTTATAAACACCATCTAAAACCATATCTGTTTTATATATTGTGTAGCACATTTTTAACAACTATATTATTTTAGAAATTTTAAAGATTTTAAAAAGAATTATTTTAATAATATGTTGAACTTTTCTCTAAAATTAAGAAAAAAATAAAAAAAACTAAAGAAAATTTTAAATTAAAAAAATATAATATACCTGTTAAATATGGTTTTCAAATACATCAATTATTTTAAAATGTGTGATACGTCCTCTTTTAATGTGTTTAATAGGTAACATTTTAATCATGGATATGATTTGAAAAGATTCCGAATCTATGTTATGTTTCTCATTTGGCTCAAGTAAACCGCCATTTATTCAAATAAATATTATTTTTGAAAATTTAGGAGTCGTTTACTAAATGTTTTCTTAGTAAACGTTTATCAGATCATTTATCTTACTAAATGAACATGGTAAAAATTGAGAATTTTATCCGGAAGAGCGATAATGAGAATGAAGAATCTTATATGGTAAGTCAGGGTGATAATTCTTACCCGTTAAGCACTTGCTAAGTAAGATGTTGGAGATGATACCGTATTAATGAACTGAAATCTTACCTGGTAAATAATTAAAATCTTAGTCAGTTTTTTTTCGGTTCACTTAATATGTTTTTAGGGACATGTTCAAACGAAAATGCTAATTATTTAAGAAAACAAAAAAAAATTCATTCTTGTACAAAATCATATATGATTTACGTACAAAATCATACATGATTCACACACACACACACACACACACAATATCATAAAGCATTTGACAAAAACTCTTAAAAACTATTTTTATGCGTAAAGTACTGTTTATTAATGCATATTACTTAAAACTCAAGATTACAAGTAGATTGTGCGTAAGTACAACTTATTAAAGTTTCATATCTGAATTTGTGTAACTAACTGTAAATAAACATAATCAAATACAGGATAAACATCTAATTTTAAATATAAAAAATCTAAAATATAATTAGGATAATTATTGAGTGCTAATATAATACTTAATTATTATCTTTATAAAATGTTATATTATTAAACCAAAAATAAATTATTTCATCATTAAACTTAAATTAAATTATAATAAAATAAATTAAAGAAATTACATAAAAAATGAGAAATTTTAAATATTTGATTTGATATTAACATTAATATATATATATATATATATATATTTAAAAAAAAATTATGATATATTCAAATTTATATTTTATTTAAAAATAAAATCATTATTGTTTTATTAAAAACACATAAAATTGTATTATAACATCGACAAAGACAAAAAATAAAATAGAACACTAAAATCGAAATGTGTCTCGATGCATTGCGCGAACATTCTTCTAGGGTATATATATATATTTTTATTTATTTACGTACAAAATCATACATGATTATATATATTTATTTGTTTATTTACGTACAAAATCGTACATGATTCACACACACACACACACACACACATATATATATATATATATTTACGTTGACATGTTCAAAAGTCGTCCGCTTCAATTTTTTTGACATTAATGTAGAATCACATGTGATTTGTACATTAACGACATTTTTCTTGTTTTCTTAAAATAGTTAGTGTTTTCGTTTGAACCTTTATCTATGTTTTTAAACTAATATAAATATGATTATACTTTAATTCTGATAAATATTCTAAAACATGATTTAATTTTATAAACTACTGTTTTTTAAATATTTATTCTTATGAAAAACTTAATAACTCTAGATCATCGTATTGGTAGTTGCAAAAATGCTAGAGTAGTTTGAGTTTCGGTTTTAAAATGGTGGGGTCTTGATGTCGATTTTGGAACCACTGAGGAGGAGACGTTAAATTCTCAACAAGACGTTTCTTTCTTGTATTGGCTAAATAATATATGGCAAACATCTATTTGGGCGACTACTTACCTTATTTAGGCTCATTGAAACAATATCATGTTCCAAAAAAATCATCTACTACTGTGTCTTTGTTCACCGAGATGCATGTTAAAGCTTTTGAATGGATTTCAAGAAGATTAAAGACGAGATCCATATAGCGGAAATCATGAATCGATAAACCAAATCTTTTGTCCTCTTTCTAACACTTTTTGTGGGATTTAGCCTATGCTTTGTTTCTGTGTGCTTGTTGAGCTTCTGGTCACGGTTTATTACTTCTTAAAAACTATATCCTTTTACTTTCTATTAGAATGTACCTAAGTTTTTATGATGACGTTTTAAACTTTAAGACGTGAATGGCTTTTAGAAATATGATTTGATTTTATTGCAAAATAAAATACAACTCTATTTAGAATATAAAATACAAAAACCCATACATAGTAGAAAAACCGTCAATATATTATCCATTCAAATGTATAGTGAAAAAACATGAGATTCATGCATATAATAAATGTCCATAAAGAGTATTGTTTTATAGTTTGAGCAAAATAATGCAAGTGACAGGGGAAGAGCTTGCTGGCAAGACATGCCAACGCGGAAATTTTTTCTTTTAAAGTTCGCCATAAAAACTAAGGTTAGTCGGGTCTTAGTATACACATTTTGCACACATGTCATCTGTTGTCTAACATAGTTGAAGTTTAGCCATACATATGAACGGTTGATCCTATCAGGTTAAGTTGATCCATTGAATATACTGCAAAATAAATGTTCATTAAAACATCGTATAAGAAGAATAGAGGTTTTTGAGGGTTTTATTTTCTCTTTTTCTGTGGATAATAATTTGTGGGCCCTGATTGATCTGTTCATCAACCATGTAAAACTAGATCATTCATTTATTTATTAAAAAGAGAGAATAAAACGTTGATTTAAATAAATATATATATTAATAAAACAATGAGGTGTATTTTAAGTAATCCACTTTTTTGTTTTCGTACCCATCTACGTACATCTTAAAAACAATTGGCCCTGGATGGTTTTTACAATATAATATATATTCAGTAATTAATAATTTAGCATATTATATAAGTATTTAATTATAAATATAAATAAATAAACAAGTGATGTAGAAAGAAAGGAACATCCGGCATGGAGTGCACCGTGCAATGAAATACGCGTTGTGGTGTCGTCATCCATTCCCCGTGAAATGCAAGTCGACTTCATAATCACTATTCTATAAAATAAAAAATAAAAAATAAAAAATGATGTATTATCCAAATGTACGACATACGACATTCTCGATAATTTTAATAATTCTTATTATATAAAAATAACCGACATAAATATATTTTTATAAATTTAAAAGCTGTAATCAATAAATAAAAAATACGCAACGAACGAGTTCATTCATCGTAGTAATAATAATAGACCCACATTGGTCAAACGAAATCTTGGACAAATCTATATCCATCATCAAACTTAAAATCACAAGAGAGAATGCATTGAAATATACAAATTCTTTTAAGAAATAAACGATAATACCTTAAGCTTAAAACAATAAACTAAACCATTTAACTTTAAATAATGATGAGAAATTATTGAGTCAGTGACATGAACTGAGGTGTCACAAAAATGAACATATTTGATATTAAAGTTGGAAATATCTATTTTAATGTTGTGTTTTTGATTTTGGGGAAAAAGGGAATGAAAAGAAGAAGAAAAATTGTGTTCTTGAGAGAAGAAAAAGGGAAGAGAATTTCAATGTTTTGTGTTTTTGATTAGCAGAGAAAGAAAACGAAATGTCATTCTTACAAAAAAAAAAAATATATATATATATATATATATAGGCTATGTTTGGCAAACTAGCTAATAAGTTAACTGATGGTTGATAAACAACCTAGTAGCTGATTAACAAATCATATTTAACAAAAACTAGTTGATAAACATGTAAAATGATTAAAAAAAATAATCTTGAAAAATTAGTCAATTATAATATTTTAACAAATATTAATAATATAATATATTAATATAAACAAGATAGTAATATATATATATATTATAAAATTCTTGAATTTGTTAAATAAATTTAAAAAAAAAAATCTGCATTAGTTTATGATTTTGAATAACTTACATATGATATAAATAAAAATAAAATTGATCAACCTCACATATCTTAATTAATTAGTAATTTAACTAAATACATTGAATAATGACTAACAATAATAATAATATTAAGTAATCAATAATAATAATAATATAAAAATAATTGATATGACTAATAATAATTCTAAATAATTAATGTTGATGTAAAATTTACAATTAATTAATAATTTTCCAGTACTATTAATTAATATTAACAATAATTAATATTTATTTTTCTATTTATTTATAATTAATAGTAATAAATAATAATATTAATGAATGTTATAATTGAAAAAAATGACATTGAGCTCCTCATAAGCAACTCCAACTCACGTTTCAATAAGCTATTTTATCTCCATCCAAATGTGTACTCAAAAAAATAAGCTAGCTTATATTTGACAAACAACACAAACCCATTTCCATTTCCATTCCCTCTTTTCCATGGAAAAAAAAGGATTCAAGAACACAGCATAAAGACTCCAGAGAAACGGTCAACTCAAACACAAATATTGATCGGTCGAAAAGAAAGTAAAGTCTTGATGGTTGATTAATAAAATCAATATGGTTTGATTTTTAACAAGAAAATGGAAGTAAAAGCATGGTCAATGAGAGGTTGACCCCATGTGAGTCAACAAGTCCTCTAAATGGAAAACCAAAAGTCCCTTCAACTTGATTTTTTTTCTTTTTACAGGAGAGACCCATTCAAATCTTGATATGCCAGTGAATACAACAAGTTCTTATTCTATTTGTCCCATGTATCAAATGCAACTAAATGGTACAAAGGGCACCAATTACCTTGCATTCCACCTATAAAGTTGGATCTCTATAGTTAAAAGACTGGTTTACAACTCCAGTTTTGTTGAATTCTATAGCGGTATCTGGGCCTTTGGTCTTCGTGGGGTTCAAGCCTTACCAAATGTGAGTTTATTTGTTGCATTTGTCGTATATAAATATTATATACTTTAAAAAAAATAACATGAAGCAGTCATTTGCCAAATGAAGAAAAAAACCAGAGATCATACTGCATCTTAAATAGGAAACACACATCTTTATGCCAAAAAAAAAAGAATTTAAAGAAACAAAACCAAGGCTAGCAAGAAAAGAGCATTTATCACAGGTTCAAAATTTGGACAGGGTAAAACAAGATTCAAAACTGAACCGACGACTATTATGCATCTTGTAATGAGAAACTATAAATCGAACATACATGTCTTGAGCTATTCTTGTGAAGTAGAGGAGGATTCTTTCAAACATGATCGCATGATCTTCCCTAGTTTCGAACACGCATCAAGGCATAGTTCCATTGCCTGTTGATCATCATATGTAAGAAAGTTTCATCGGTTTGAAAATATTGCAGTTAAAATCAATTCAAAAAGTATTATGTGTGCATATATAGTGAATGAGGGAAGCAAAAACCATTTTGATGCCATACCTCATGAATCTTAGGGGTAGACCATTCTCCGGTTATTGTTAGCTGAGTAACCTCATTACGAGATGGTAAACAGGTAATCATAAGACCACCATCTTGATAGTTTTCTTCTTCTGAAACAGGGTCAATGACAAGATTCTTCCCGAGACAAGACTATGCAACAAGTGTAAAAAACGGAGCGCAAGCACGTTAGAGAATAACATTACACAATCAACAAAAACATGGATACGCCGAAAAGAAGAGGTGATACAAACACAAAATTATGAAGCTTTGATATCTTAGCCACCATATTGAAGTCCCAGAAACCAAGTAGCAGCCGTATTATAATTCTATGGTATTGTTCGTTGAGATTCATCTTATTTGGTTTAGTAGTCAAATACACAAAATAGGGACTTGCATCCCTTCGAAAAATGTCTTTAGTGGTATTCCTCTGATAAACATGTCCCTAGCAAACTTTGAATATACTTCCATATTTTGGTGTAATGGAGATGATTGAGATCCAACCTCTGGTAGGATGCTGTGGATCAAGCTAATTGTGCTTCATGTGGAAGTACTGTCGAATCTATGCACATTTATCTTTTTGGTACATTTTCTGGTGCACTTGCAAAGAAGCATTATGGTGAATGGGAACATAATGGATTGAACCAGAGATGCTTTTAGCTTAGCCATAACTTATTATAACTGTCTTCCTTCGCTTCTCTTTGTGCAGGCTTGCCCTTGGTTCTTTTTACATCCATTTGACAGAATAGAATGCTCGAGTGCTAAACACATTTCAATATGAGGATAAATGATGTTGAGTAATGAGTAGCAAGGTGACTTTTCTATATGAAACTGTCAATAGTCACACAAAAGATGCTACAAATATGGAAATGAAATTGTGAGAGTTTACAGTTATAGCGAGTCAATTTCCAGGCATCCCCCTTCTATTTTGTATAGTTCAGTTTTGGTTCTAAATACAGGTCACTTACCCAAAACAAACCATGTTTGGAATTATATGAAGTTATATATAATATGGAATCAAAAACCAGACTATATTAATCCACTTTGCCTTCTTTGTCAACATTTAGTGATTTCTTACCAAACCAAAACGGGCCAAGAAAAAACTTTGGCTCAAAGCACATAGAAAATCGCACATTGCTTTCTCACGCCCATCTAATATTATTAATTTGTATTGAAAAGTTCAATATAATATGAGCCAATGAGGAGAAATATATGCATGCAAACTGATGTGCATACCACAGAAACTGCAGCAACCAAATCATACATCATAATCCCTGCATCTGCCAAAGCAAGACTGGCACATGAGATTACCACAGGAAGATCACCTGCAACAACAAAAAAACATTTGCAGCTACTCAGCATCTGAAGCGGGAACAGTGGTAGTATGAAGCATTAATCAAACTAAACAGCCAAAACCAGTGGCAATTGTAAAGCTAATGGTCCAAGATTTGGCTTAACATATTTCTTTTAGGAGGCAAGATCCAATTACAAAGAGCATCTAGAGAAATGAGAGATTATGCAACAAATATAGACGAATAAGCATATGTGAGGTATTCATAGAAGCAGGAGAAACTAGAAAATTTTTGTTTTATTAAAACCTAATTTTTCATATCCACCCAGTTTCTAAATATAAAGATCATTATGAATTACAACAACAGAAACTTACATCCTCCAGATTCCAATACTAATGCAAAAACATCCACAGTTGTTTTCGGAAATGTATCTAGCATGATGGCACCCTCCAAAGACTTGTGCAACTGTGACGAAATTTCTTTGTTGTCTGATGCCTAGCTCATGCAAAATATGGGATATAAATAAGATATATTGGAAGAGATATAGGGCCAATGGGATACTAATGGAAACTTGTATAGCTACATTATATCATAGACATGCCTGTCCTCGAACTGGAGTGGCAAAAGTTGTATAACTAACATTACAATTCAGGCGACCAATATCACTGTAGATCATCGCTTTCTTACTTTCCCTGGGCCCAAATCTGAATTAAAATATGTAGGCAAACAATTAGAAATCTTGTAGATTGCAAAAGGAAAAGGCATTTAGACAACATTTCATTGATAAAAAATAATAAAATAAGAGCATTCATTACCATAAAGTTAAGAGAACACTTCCTTCTTAGTTGCATCTCCATGCGTAAAACTCTTAATACCTCTAAATACCGCTTGCTCTTACCCACAACACCCACATAGGTGGACGACCACTTTACATACCAAGAGTTCAACTTAACATTTCAACTTTACATTTCACATAAAAGGTCAAGTAACTCAGATTGAGTATCATATTGCAGAATTGATGATTTTAACGGAAGCCCAAATATCGAGTAGCTAGTACTAGATATCCTTGTCATTTCATGTTTACCTGTAAACTTGAGTTCAAGTTGTATCAATGATATCTTCATAGAACGTGGATGTTAAGGTTGAAGGCAGTCAGGGCACCATTCCTTATAACAATGCCAAATGTGGGCACTTAACAACGGCACTAGATACATTTTTGTCAACATCGGTGTCATCTTTAATATTAGGTCATGATGAGGTTTTAAACAAGAGCATTCATTTCTAAAAAAGATCTAAGAACTGCAAAGATCATCCTCGATTTCTCAAGAATGTCAGACGGTATGCATACCACAATTACACATGCTCATTTAATAAATGAATACTGTCTTCAAAGATGAATAGAATATCTAATTCCTGAAGTAAACATGTAGCATAGTTTTACCAGAAAGAAAGGCGATTCAGTATTGGTCTGTGCAAAACATGTATCGATAAAATCCGCATCATATAAGAGGTAAGCTTACATAGACACCATGACCTTGGTATTACCAAACTCTGCATAAGCAGATCCTGATGCTGCATTTACGGCACCCGTTCGTAGAACTGAAAAAACAGAAGTATATTATGACAAATGAAAGCACAAGTAAAATCAAAACAACAAAAAGTTCAAGTCACCTAAAAATACATCACATCATATAGCTAATACTCAAAGTAAGAGAACCCCAAATGCATGTGAGATTTTCATGTTTAAGCCAAACAAATTTATCGTATACCATAATTAGGGCGTTACCAATGAATTTCTGTAACAAATGCATAATCTTTACATAACATAAACTCACACTTGTAACATTTCGACCCTATATACTAAAGATACGATGCCATGAAGCACAAATCAGAGAAAAAATCCGATAAAATTAGGGTTTTGTTCTTCTTATTTTGTTTCTCGCACAATTCCATAGGTGTAGGGGCAAAAAATAAATCATGATTTCATCAAAAGGGTAAAAAAAAATCTTGTTACAGAGCATCATAAAACAAAGCTCATGCGGTTCTTCAAATCAAATATACATAAAAGAACGAATTCTGAAGATGATTACGAAGAGGGAAAACGATAGAGGATATAAGTACATACATGCAGGTCTGCACTGATGAAAATCACGACCGTCGGGACGAACCCAATCAACGTCGGTGAAAATAGGAGGTCTGTTCTTCTTATAGGTTGTTGGAGACGGTGAGTACGTCGCCGGGGATGCTCCAGCTTTGGCGGCCATGAATATGTCAGACTGGGACCCTTCAGCTTTCTATCCGTCGGATAATCGGCTTCACGGCCACTCTCTGATGCAACCCCTCCGTGGTTTGAGGGTGTCGTATATGGGCCTAAACCCATTCATATTGGGCTACACGTAAAAAATAAAGAGCAAAGTACAATCTTCGTCCACGTGGTTTACACGAAATTATAATGTGCGTCCCTGACACTAACATCGTTAAAGATATATGTTAAGTAGGTTAACTTATAGGATATTTTAGTAATTTTACTATTTTTTCTTATCTTTTAAAAATAAAAAATAAACATTTCAAACACCAATCAAGTGATGCCAGGTGTCCCTCTTTTTTCTTATCTTTTAACCATCAACATCAAGAAACGACAATAATATCCATATAAAATCAAAACACTGAATCGAAATCGAAATAAAGAAAGGGACACTAAATCTAAATGAAATAAACCAAACCTTAAATCAAGTTTAAAACTCCTTTGTGTCTTCGTTATTTTAGTGATGCTTCAGTTTCATCAAGAATCACGTATTAAACAAATTTAGATAAATCACTAATCAAACAAACTCACAAATTTAAACAAATCTAGAGGCCTAAACCTAAAATTCTAGGAGAAATATCTTAGGAAATCCCATATCCCAAACAAAAATTTGGATCGAGATACGAATCCTGGAGTTCGAAGATGAAGACTGTAAGGAGGTCGATTTGGATATAGATATGGAGTACGGAGATGTAGATTGTGAGGAGGTCCTGACTCTGATGTGGAATCTGAAGATGAAGATCGTGAGGAAGGGGGTGTTTTCGTTTTGTCTTGTGGTTTCTACTAACGTCGAGGGCAGCTAGGGTGTACGCGGGTTGGGTTGAGCGGTTTTTAATATTTTTACACTCCAACCCAATTATGGCGGCTTGTAAAATCTCAACCCAACCCAACTCATTCAAAAGTATAACCATGCCCAACACAACTCTTGCGGGTTAGGGCGGGTTGGGTTGGCGGTTTGACATTTTTTCTGTCATTTGTTTTGACTTCATGAATCTTATATTGAAGGTACAAACAAATAATCACAAAATAGGCCGCAAAATATAAATAATCCAACATGTTAATAATTGTTTGTTGAAGGAAGAAGGGAAGATGAGTTTGGTGATTCATCATTCGGTTTCCATGTGTGACAGGGAAAGCGAGATATAAGGAAGAAGAGAAGATGAGTTTGATGATTCATCATTCATGTGGAGTACAAAAGTTCAAACTTTACAATGTATACAACTGTAATCGACAATAGAAGCAAGAGTCGAAGAACCGAAATACATGAGAAATAAATTTGTTAAAAGTAACAGCAAGAAATCAATAGAAATACGTGAAGAAGAAGGTTGCTTACATGAGGAGAAGAAGGTCGATCTTCGATTTTCTGGTATTATTTCATAGTTGATTTCTGGTTTTGTGGACGTTGTGACGAAAGAGGCGTGTATCTGTGATGGAGAAGGCAGACGCAAGGGTTGAGGGTTATAGAAAAGGGTTATTAGAAAAGGTTAAAAGGTAAATTGTTAATAAGTTAGGGAGGACTGACTTATCAAAAACTATTTATTACCGGTTTAACACTGATATAATTTACTTTTCTTCCCATCCAAACAATCAAAATGACTTATTACCGGTACCACACTGGAATAAGTCAATAAGAATATTTTATAAGCAATCTCAAATACCCCCTTAATTTTTGGATTGTACATTAGACTAAAAAATATACATAAATGTGGGTTATAAATTATAACTTTGTAAATATCATATATATATATATATATATATATATA